TCGCCAGCACCACAACTCAAAAGCATCAACTCTTCTTTGGTCTTCCTTATTCATTGTCCAGCTCTCACATGCATATGAGGTTATTGGAAATATCATGGCCCAATATAGTAGCCACTAGCAAAATGTTATATAAATTTAAATGAATTAAAATTAAATAAAATTATAAATTCAGTTCCTCAGTCACATTAGCCACATTTTAAGTGCTCAAGGGCCATTTGTACTGAACAAATGCAATAGCACAGATAGAGAACATTTCTACCATCACAGAAAGTTCTACTGCACCACACTGATCTAGATCTCTCCTCTGAACCCTACATTTATAGATTCAATTTCTTTCTTAATATTTCCACTTAGATGTCAATAAACATTTCAAAACCAAACTCCTGATATTCTTCCTAAACTAGTGTCTTCCGTTTTTCCTATTTCAGTTGATGGCAATTCCATCTGTCCAGTTGCTCAGGCCAAAAACCTTGGTGTGACCCTTGACTCCACTTACTCCACACTCAACTGATAAGTAAAATCTGACCGCTTCTCATAATCTCCACTTCTACTACCCTGTTTCAAGTGACCATGCTCTTCTGCTTTTTGTAATAGCTTCCTAAACACTTTCCTGATTCTTTCCTTAGTCCTCTAAGGCCTAATTTTCAGTATCATAGCCAGAGAATTCCTGTTAAACTCAGACAATTTCACTGTTCTGTTCAAAACCCTCTATTGGCTTCCCAGCTCAATCAACAAAAGTCAAAGTTGCTGTAATAACCTATAGGGCCTATATGATCTGACCCTCACTACCTCTCTGACCTCATTTTCTACTATCTCCCCCACTTGCACACTCCTTGGTAGCCATCCTGGTAATACTGGCTACTCTTCAGAAACACCAACTGTATTCCAGCCTTTCCCATGAAATACAATTTAGGAATCAGTAAGTTCAAGAATCACTAAGCTATAGTGCCCAGCTACCACTACCAACTGTTCTGATCCAATAGATGGATCCTGTTAGAACAGGATAAAAATGTGGAACAGAACTCAAAGTCTTAAAAAGTTAAGACTTAATTGGGCTAATTGAAATGGAAAGACTTCCCAAGACCATCATCCTGATGGGTAGACAGGCTGAATGATCAGGTATGTCCAGGCAAAAGGGAATATACTCATGACCATATATAAGGTTAAAACTAAAGTAAACTAACACTGTCATCGAGCTGGTCCTGAGTCATAGTGACCCCTCCTTGGGTTTCTAGGGTGGTATCCTCACGGAAGTAGATTGCCCAGTATTCCTTCCGAGGAGTGGCTGGTGGGTTTGAGCCGCCACCCTTCTGGTTAATGCCTTAGGCACTACGCCACCAGAGCTCCCATATATAAGGCTGGCAGTTGACGCTTCTACATACATATTTGTATGTGCTGTAAGAATGTCCATATAATTAGAGCTAACCACCCAGAGAATGTCCATATAACCAGAACTAACCTCCCAGATCTTGTTGGAGTTGTTGGACCTGTGAGCTCGGGACTGTGGATGCAGGGGACACCAAGCTCAACTGGCATAACACACTACACAAAAACACTGTTCTATATCCTACTTTGCTGAGTAGTAAGTAGCGACTGTGGTCTTAAAAGCTTGCAAGCACCCATCTAGATGCAACAATGGGTCCCACCTTGTTCAGAACAAGGGAGAATGAAGAAAACCAAAGAAATAGGGAAACAATTAATCCGAAGGATAAGTGGACCATGTGAACCTCAGCCTATATGCCCACAAGACCAAAAGAACTAGATGGTGCCTGGCCAGCACTGTCAACCACTCAGAAAGGGAGCAGTGCAGGAGATCCTGAGCGAACAATGTGGGAAAAAACTGGGGCTTCCAGCCAAATAACAGACAGGCACATAGGATGAATATTTACATCAGGTAGATATATTCCTTAGAATAACCTATCACGGGAGACCAGAAGGGCAATATCTACACAGGGCGATAGCTCAGGGGGCAAGAATGCATAAGAAAGAAAGACACAGGGAAGAGGTAACTACAGGAAGGAAGTGGGAAGAGAGCTGTTACATGGTGGGGAATTTCAGTCGATGTCATGAAACAACATGTGTATCAATTGCCATATGGAAAATGAATTTGCTCTGTAAACTTTCACAAAAATCACAATAAAAATTAAAAAAAAAAAAAAAAGACTATTACCTTGAGATACTCTTGACATTTTGAAGTGAAACCATCCTCTGAGGTCACCTTTTAGCTAAACAACAGAGTGACTCATAAAACAAAGGGTATCCCCATGAATACTGTGCTCCTTTAAAAAATCATCTATATGAAACTAACTGGTCAACAATAACCCTACAGCAAAAATGAGAAGGTAAGGGGGCAGGGGAGATGGATTATTGGAAACAGAATGACCAGAAAGGAATCAATGAGAAGGTTAATATATAATGTTGATATGAAAAATGTAATCCATCTCACTAATTTGTATAGGAATAATTAAATAATTTGTGTAGAAATTGTTAGATGGAAATCTACAGTTGAGTGTAAACTCTCACTGAAAATACAGTAAAATATTATTTAAATATAAAAGAATCACTAAGATAGACTAAAAAGCAGAATAAAAAAAGAAAATCTATTTGCAGATTCATACTAATCTTTCTTTAACTATAAGGTCCCTACCTAGTGAATGGAGATTAAATGATATTAATTACATAAAGAAACAGGTCTTTCAAAAGCTGAATCTCATTTACTTCACTTAATCTTTATCTCACAAAAAATCCCTCAGTTAGTTGTCTGGAAAGGCACATACAAACTAATCAGCTACCAAGATTTTTACAAATAAAAAAATTACTAAAATTGTAATGTAAGAATATGGATTCATATTTCCTATTTGATAATGGCATACAAATATATATTCTTATTTGCTAAACTATAAAAGATAACAGTATTATGTTCAACTACTTGTTCTTTAAACAAGTTCTACTCAAGGTAGTCAGTCTAGCCTGCAAATTGTATTATTATTTGTTTTGAAACAAGCAGCCTGCCCAAGAATGCAAATCAATACACTGCTTCCATCGTCGAGAAAATTTCACTACAAAAAAAATTTCAGCTGAACTCTACAGTATGCTTAAAGAGCTCTGGTGGTGTAGTGTGTAAGGCATTTGACTGCCAACCAGAAGGTTGGTGGTTCAAACCCACCAGCCACTCCGTGGAAAGAAAACTGAGCAATCTACTTCTGCAAAGATTTACCACCTTAGAAACCCAAAGTGGGGTTGGCTATGAGTCAGAATCAACTCCTCGGCAGTGAGTTTGGTATTTGGTATATAGTGTGCCTACAAATATAAACGATTTACATTCTGGTTGTTGTAGTTGCCATTGTGTCAATTCCAACTCATGGCAATCCCGCATGTGCAGAACAAAACTGCTCCTTAGGGTTTTCAAACCTGTGACCTTTCAGAAGCAGATCATCAGGCCTGTCTTCTGAGGTACCTCTGAGCAAGTTTGAATTTTCTGGCTAGTAATTGAGCATTTAACTATCTGCACCACCCAGGGCAAGTTACCACATTATTTTAACACAAATAACATGAGTCTTGTATGTTTGTCAATGGCTTCCTCCCTGCAGGACCTACTTTCTGAAGTGCTACTATGCCAATTTTTTCTTACATGTTGCTGTAGAAAACACATGTTATTTATGTAAAAATACAGTATCAATGTCATTGCAGACTGGTAATTAACATTTCACAGACCGACATAGGTCCATAAATTATATTTTGGGTAGCATTACTTTAAATTACCTTCTGGTTTCTTTAATTCAAATACACCAAATATTTTGGAGTACCTTCTACATACAATGTCAGAGTTTCTATGCAATCACCATTTACAGTTTACTGGAATTAACATGTATTTTGTTGTTTGCTAGATGTAACACAGTCTACTATGTTTATATTATAGAATTTTAAAGCTGGCTAGAAAGAAGGCTATAGCAGAATAAGAACAACAGTAACATATTGACAAAAATGTTTACCTAGTTCAAAATTATAATTTTTAAATAGATTATATAATAGCACTTCTGGTGATACCTAGTAACATTAGCTTTAAAAACTTTGTTTTCTTTTTGAAGAGATATAAAATCATCCATTTTTAACACTAACCTAAATATTCCATCAGCTGTTCAGCAGTTATGATTTCCATCATTGGTGGAAGTTTCACCTGAAAAAGAAAGTATTATTTCTATAAAATCAAATATTTTAGGCAGCTAAAATATTTCCTGCAGTCCAAAACACAAGTGTGTATATATACACATATGTGCTAAAGTATTCATGTACTGTACCTGTAAATTAACATTCATCTTTATAAAATATAACAAAGTCAATCTTATCACCACAAAATTTACAGGTTAATTTAAAATCTTAAACAGATATTGAGAAATCTGTTTTCAAAGCCAAATACTATGGCCTTAACCATATTTATCATTAGGCAACAGTGTCTTGCATGGTATAAAATGTGGTTAAAGGGCAGGCAGAAACACCAAACATGTTAGGACAGGTCATCCATGAAAGAAGCAGTGTTACTGAAGCCAGGCCTGAACATAGTTCAATATCCCATTACTTCAGCCTACTTTGATGATTTTTATTGCTGAGTGGCTAAAATGAATACATTATTAAAGTATTAGTCATAACTGGAAAGTTCATACTACACATGTGAAGTTCAAAACTAGACAACATTAAACCATATTATTTAGAGCTGCATACTTAGGTGCTACAATTATAAAGAAAATTAAGGATGTGGATAGTGTAAAACTTAGGATTATGATTACCCCTAGGAGTAAAGGAAGGAGTAACAGGTGGGAAGGGACACATAAAGAGTTTCTGGGGTGTTGGCAATACTCTGTTTTGTGACCTGCATGGTAGTTCCACTGATGTTTGCTTGGTAATAATTTGTTAAACTGGAAAACTCTGCTTTATGTACGTTCTCTATGTATTATATTTTACAATTAAAAAAGGTTAAAAGTAAACACATACATGATAAAAACTCAAAAAACCTCACTGCCATCAAGTAGGTCCCGACTCATAGCAACCCCTCTTTGGGTTTCCAAGGCAGTATCTCTGGGGAAGTAGATTCCCCAGACTTCCTTCTGAGGAGCGGCTGGTGGGTTTGAACCATCAGCCCTTTGGTTAGCAGTCAAATGCCTTAGGTACTATGCCACCAGAGCTCCCACATACATGATAGTCACGTCTAAGTTGAAAAACCTGGACAATCCATTAAAGTTAATTCAGCTACAACAACACTTAGTTTGATTTTTCAAATGAGATATGAGTTACACAAATATTATAGTCAATGACAGCATAGGAGAAAAATAAATACTGTAGGTGGAAACTCAGAGTAATTAATGTATTAAGGATAGGAGAATAGCAACAAAATTAAAAATTCTTCAGGAATAATTTACTGTTCAACCAGGGAAATCATTTATATCAACATTTTCTCTAATGATTTCCCCAACTATTGAAAAAGGTGCTCTGAGGGTTCTGTTATCAAATGTGCTAACAGTATGTCACAATTTTGTTGTTGTTTTAATCAGTGAATAAAATAAGTCTTTAAAAAAATCCCAGTAAAACAGAACATATATGAGACCATATATGACAGGTGATGCTCATGATTTAGTCATCCAACAGATTTATCACTCAACTGAAAACTAAGAGATGCTATGGAGGTTTTGATCATTACTTGATATAAATTATTTTTATTCTGTGAGGCATATTTTTCAATTGTGACTCAAAACAGGCTTCAGATAGATGAAGAAAACATAAGGAATACTGACTTAGGAAAGAATATAAAAATAATTGAAAAAGCTCTATTGGACAGTACTGCCCTCTATATTAGATACTGGCAAATAACAGTCTACCATCTGTTTTTCTAAATATTATAAGTTTTATTGGCACATAGTTATTCTTATCTGTTTATGTACTGTCTTTGGCTGTTTTTATGTTATAATGGCAGAGCTGAATCTTTGATATAGGGACTATATTGCCTTCAAAGCCTAAAATTTTTACCAGCTGTACAACAGAACAAAATGCTGCCAGGTCCTGTGCCATCTTCATAATTATTGCTATGTTTGAGCCCATTGTTGCAGATGCTGGGTCAATCCATCTCAATGAGGGTCTTCCTCTTTTTCACTGACCCTCTATTTTACAAGCATGATGTCCCTCCTGATCACACGTCCAAAGTAAGTGAGATGAAATCTTAGTTTCTAAGCAGCATTCTGGTTGTATATCTTCCAAGACAGATTTGGTGGATCTTTTGACAGTCCATGGTATATTCAATATTCTTCGCCAACACCATAATTCAAGTGCATTGATTCTTTGGTCTTCCTTATACATTTGAATGACTCTTACTCAATGGATGATTCCAGTTGTTATTATATAATTATTATTTAAAGGTTTTTCATTTTCAAGGTCTGATTATTGTATTAAGATTTTTAAACCAGTGATGTTTAACATTCTAAAAGATGAACAACTGCTAGACCTATCAGAAACTCCTATTTATACCTAAAAATATTTCTATAATAAATTAATACCTGTACATTCTCTTACTGCAGAGAAATTCATTGCACAAATGTATTCACCAGAAAACTTCATCAACAAATGCCTTATCCTTTCCTTTGGTTAATACAGTCATTCTAGAATAAAATTTTCAGAATAAGAAACTTTAGCACTAACATACGTTACCAAGCATGATATCCTTCTCCAGGGAACTATCCCCTATGAGAACATGATCCAAGTAGGTGAGACAAAATCTGGCCATTCTCGCTTCCAAGGAGCATTCCAGCTGCACTTCCTCCAGGACAGACTTTCTTTCTTCTGGCAGTCCATGGTATTTTCAGTATTCTTTGCCAACACCAGAATTCAAAGGCATCAACTCTTCTTTTTTATTTATTTATTTATTTTTATTGTGATTTGGGTGAAGATTTACAGAGCAAATTCACTTTGCATACAGCAGTTCACATATACTTTGTCTCATGTCACTGACCACAGTTTACCACAATGCCACAGCTCCCCTCCCACTTTCTCCCCATAGCTACCTCTTCCCAGTGTCCATCCCTCCATACACTCCTGACCCCT